AAAAAAAATAATCCTCTCATATTTTCAAATCCCTCTCCACCTGCCTTAAAACTCGAATTTGAGATTTTCAATTTGGAGTCTCACGTTTTTAATTATTAAGCCACACTATTGGGATAAATTTTATAAAGTATTATAATTAGAGAATAGTATTTATATGTTTTACTTTTTAAAAATTAAGAAAAAAATTATTTCAAAATTATATTATTTTAATAAAATTTTATTAAAAAATATTAAATATTATATTTTTAAAATATAAATTAAAGGTTTTTTTTAATTATTTTATAATATTTTATTAAAACAATTTTATTTTAAAATAATTTTTTTTAATTTTTAATAAATAAAACGGATAAATACTAAATCACTTATACTTATAACTTATTCAGGACTTTCCCAACTAAACAGGCCTGGGCAACAACGCCCATGACTAACAAAGCCCAAGACTACAAAAACCCAACCTCCCACGGCAAACCCAATCAACAGCAATACCTAAGTGTAGGAACAATTCACTATTAATTACTTTCTTAACTTTCGAGTCTTTAAATCGAAGAATTGTTAAAATTAACGAAGGATTTGATCCATCCACAGCATAATGAAGATGAACATACAAAAATCTCAAGGCATCAAAAAAGAAAACATAGGAGCAGATAAAGGAAATACTTTTTTCCTTCCTTCATACAAAAACGTTATAGTTGAATTTAGGATCTTGAATTTTTTTTAGATTGGTATGAAAATTTATTTATCCAATAATTATGAGCATAGAAAAAATTAAGACGTTATGTTATTAAAAATATTAAAATATTTAATTATAATTATTATTTAAATAGTATGTAATTATTATTTAAATAAAATTTTATTTAAATAATGATTATGATTAAATATCTTAATAATTTTTATATCAAAATATCTTAATTTTTACTTTTTTACAAAAATTATTATGTATAAAAAAAAAAAACATTGCTGCTACAGTAGGTAAACAATGCAATAAATATTTGCAATTTTATAAAAGTAAGAAATCAAAATCTTTAATGTGCATATATAATAGTTGCGCTTTTTTTTTTGTGGGTACATATAATAGTTGCGCTTTTTTTTTTGTGGGTACATATAATAGTTGCGCTTTTGTAAAGGTAAGAAATCAACTTCTGAACTTTAAACTTTAAAGCGAAAATTTCGGAGAACTCTGAAAATTTAAAGAAAGTACCAAAAGAGAAACCGTCCAAAGGAAACGAGTGTAATGATTAATTTGACCCGATCAAACCAGACTCCTCTCCAGTCTGATTTGGAGTAATTCAACCCAATTAAAATCAGCTACTTAATCAAGCGGTGGGCCTGAACAACCTGAAAATAAAA